TCACATTTTCTTTAATCATCCTAAACTCGTGTAATTTTTATTTAAATAACATTTTTCAATCTCACTTATGTTAGACCTTAGAAGGTCTTATTCACATTTCTTTGCAAATCGAATAGTATTTTTTTTCTCCTTATTAATAAGACTGAAATGAGCACTCTGTACATACCTCCATTATTTAACCTACCGATAAAACATTGTATTCCTGACCCCCGAACTTTTAATTGGTTATAAAAACTCTTATAAAGAGGCTCTTGGTCATATAAGAGTAGACTGTGGAGATTACACAGAATGCGACGATCTGTGGTTTAAATGATGCAATGTTAAGGTTTAATACAAACGATTTTAAGCTATTTGAATTGTAATGGGTTTAATTTGGGATGACATGGTAAGACATTTTATGTTTAAGTTCATGGTTTAATGGTGTTTAGCTGGAGCATAGGTATTAATATAGGAGTTTCGAATCCGTGAAATTACTTATCTGGATTTTGTATACTTTTCATTCGTCGTGAAGAAACGTTGCGACACTATGTTGCATTACAACATCATACAGGGTCGTGAACTACCACGACAGATCAGGGACTGACAAATTAGTAACATATTTTTGTGTGGTGACCCGTAATCCTAACAACAGTTTTGAGTTTTTTCTTTCAACACTCCAGTAAGTACAACCTTAAAATAAACAACTGTCTGTCTGGATTATCTGGTAGAGATTGCTTGGTACTAAGACCGCCTATGTTGTGTCTTGTCACTTCTGTATTTCTTGTATTTGTCAGTATTGTGTGTTATGCACTAAGGAGTATTAGATAGATACCTAGATCTACCTAATAAGTACTGGCAACTCTACCAAAACCTCCCAATCTTTTAAATACTTAGTTAATCAGATACAAACAATAAATAAGGCTAATTCGTTGTTAATAACAAATGAGATAGATAAGAGCTTGATTTTTATGCATTTGAGATAAAATATTATAATCTTCGTTAATCTCGAGGTATGTTTGATTTTATTCAACAGTAGGATAGAATAGAATATTAATTAGCATTAGCATTATTTAATATATCTTTTAAAAGAAAGATAAGGCGCCATAAGATTCAAGAAAATATTTTATGGTCGCTTATGTTTCCATAATGTTATAGGTTTTCCTATTTTATGAATTTGCCGTTTTGTATAGAGTATTTTATAATAACTCATTATTTATAGATGCTATAACATTTTGAACATTGACAAACTTATTTTTCACTATCCTAAGTCATATTCCATTCTAATACCATTTCGAACTTTATATTGTCACTTTTGTTACTTCACTAATTATGTAATCAAATATGCATATAATTTTTGATTTATTTATTGACAAATTGTGTTTCTCAATTACTATTTGAACTTGTAATTACGTCTTTCGGCATTGTGCAATTGACAAACAAGTCGTAATTTAGATAAAATTAAGCGGTAACATTAATCTTTCATTATCTTCCATGCTATTCATTTATGAAGACGATGCGCTATAGAAACTTACTACTGATGTAACATTTTAAGAAATAATAATATCTTAAAAATTGCACTTAAGCAGTTTGGCGTCATAATGTTTCTCTCTTCATTTTATATCTCGCAATACTTTCCCAATTAATTCTAACAAATCGCGAATAATATGATTATTATAATTCATTGGCAACAGTTTATCGCGTAAAGTGTTAATACCAACGTAGAGGTAATCTCGAAACTGCAAAACACATTCGTTCGATTGTTAATGTCCCGATTCGATCCGCATATTAACATACCGATAACCCGTTCACAAACTCAGATGTCTAAATATTTTTTGCCGAAATTAAGACACGCCGTCTTTTAAACGTTTGATGTCAGGGCATTTAAAGCGGTCCTATTTTTTTTAACTACGTAATAGTAGGTTTAGGAAATACGCAACACATTTTATTTTTAATCTCAATTTTGTAGCCAGTATTAGTGAGTACATAAATGGAAAAGAACAGTTCTAAAGTTCAAAAAGGTTAAAGCAGTAAAAGGCGTGAGGCGTACGAAAATTAATTTCGAATTCTTGCCAACCAGTTAGAATTATTAATTACTACTAGGGTTTCTGATTTCTCGACCTATTTTTATTCTCGAGTTTCGAGAATTCTCGAGGCCAAAGTCTCGAGTTTTCTCGGGTCTCGAGTCTTTTAATGAAAACTGCTGAAATCGGTTGAAATTTAATAAAAACACAGGTTTTTTTAATCTAATATACCTACTTTTATGTACAACAATCGATAGTAGAATTTAGTACCATTTATTTTGGTAAGGCAATAAACAAAAAATAAAATCTTCTTTCATAATTAATATTTACTAATAATCATAACAAAAGTCATAAGTCGCGTGTACTTTAAGGATAAATAACAATAAAAATCTAGAGCTACTATTGAATCACTTCTTCTTCTTCTTTCTTCTTTTTCAGCCAAATGACGTCCACTGCTGGACAAAGGCCTCCCCCAAGGTTTTCCACAATGAACGGTCCTGCGCTGCCCGCATCCAGGCTCTTCCCGCGACCTTTACCAGATCGTCGGTCCACCTAGTAGGAGGCCTGCCCACGCTACGTCTTCCAGCCCGTGGTCGCCACTCGAGAACTTTCCTGCCTGTGAATCACTTCATCAAGTCCAAATAGTAAAATTACGATAAATAAATATTTTTTTTTTACTTTAGTCGATACTACGCTTCCACGCAATCTATGCACATGTCGTGGCAGCTTTTAATTAAGGCTACACTATAAACACGTATTGTTTTCAATGTTTTTTCCAGTTAATGGGGATGTTGCCTGGGTCAAAAAGCAAGAGTTTTAATTAGTCCGTCAGTTAACTTATAAAAAAATACTCTACACGTATTTTTCACTTTTTCAAACTAATGAAAATTTAAAGAGATAAAGCGCCCCAAAGTTCATAAGAAGAGGCCCGTGACGTCAACGCTTGCTTAAAAATGCCGCACGTTGTGACGTCGTGCGCAACTTCAACGCACCATAACTAACTATGTAATTATTTGTTAGATTGACAAATAAAAATATATGTGTCCAATATTTTTTGATATTAAAAATTACGGACTAAAAAAATTTTTTAGGCAACTAGCCTATTGTGTATGTCTTGTTAGCTGTCCTTAAATAAATAAATAAATAGTTTTTTTATGAACAAAAAAACATTTTAATATTTTTTTAAATTTCTTACAGACTGATAACGACTTGAATAAACTTTACGAGGAGGGACGAATATCTAACCTAACGTCTGTTAGGTAAGGTAACTGTCTAGTTAACAAATTTTTCAGTCTTTAAATCAGTCAGATTAAACATATTATGTACATAATAAATATAGCATACTCGTTGGTGAACATTATTACTTAGTTTCGATTGAGATCATTACCTACTTGCAAATCAAATCAGTTAAAAAAGGAAAGACTAGGCCAGTCTAAAAGCAACGTTGACCTATTAAATAATAAAAAGCAAACTTTTGTCTAAAAAAATAGGCTTTCAAGAATATTAAAGCTTCAAAATCGAAACTCGAGAATTCTCGAGCTCCGGTAATTTTTTTCTCGTCTCGAATGAAGCCAAATTTCTCGAGTTTTCTCGAGTTCGAGAAAGCTCGAGCAGAAACCCTAATTACTACTACAAGTTAATTTGAAAGTGGAACAGTTGATAACGACCCACAAATCAACTGATCAGTAGCGGTCGTCCGCTATCGGTTGCACTTGGCAACGGTTTTCACGAAAATATTCTCTTTTTTTATAAACTTGTTATTTTTGACCAGTCTTCGGGCCCTAATGGCCGTTGCACTTCGGACACTTTGTACGTAACGGCTCTCGGAATGCCACTGGCAGCTTAGAAAAACCGTGACAGTGTTATTTTTTATTCAGATTACTACATGTGTTACCTTCTTTCTTGGAATTCCAAATTTGAATCTCGCTTTTAAAACTGTGAATTTATGCACCTAATTTTAGAACTTTTGAGGAAAACTATCATCTTTTGTAGCGTGTATGTCAAAAAGTAGCGAAGGGCTTCTAAACCATTTCCTTTTAACAGTCACCAGAAGAGCTAACAACCAAAACTTGAAAGTGTGTGCGGATTAATATCGGTAACAATGTTCTTAAGACTCAAAATACTGTGGGGTGTTGACACAAGTATTTGTCGCGTACAAACATGGCTGTTTGAGTTTCACACTTGACTCGTGAAGCGAAAATCGTCGTTGTGTAAATAGATTTATGTGGCAACGCGGCAAAACTAAATGTCGTTTACGATGATGCACAATATTTTTTTATGCAGTAGACCTGCTCATTTTTAACGAAAATGTAGGCCACTCTATATTAAATAGTCTTCACTTTAAAGGCCACCGACAAAACTTCTCGTGGTCAGAATAAAATCTTGTTAATAGGCCTATGTTCAGCAGTGGACGTCCTATGGCTGATGATGATGATGATGATAATAAGCGTTAGCATCTAGTCGTCACTGAAATACACCGACGACAACTCGTCATGGTAGCCTCTTATGTCGTTAGTAATAGAGGCTATTTTGCAACAAAAATGTGTAATCTTATGTGACGTCTGTACATCTAGTGCTGTCTGTACATAGGTACTAGTGGGTTTTCTGACCTTTACTACTTTATAAGTAAATGTCGTGTGCGTTAAGGATTGTCTACGGACGTCAGAGCGGTTTTATTGCTTTGCGCTTACCGCTGATAAGTAATACGACAACCGGGCTACGCCTGGCGGGTGCCGTTAGAAAATATGCAGCTGGACGTCATAGTTGTCAGTGCGCGGATTTATCTTATGCAATTGGTACTTCTAGATTCGTTGGGAAAGGTCTTTCACGTTTTATTTTCATCAACAGTAATCGTTTAAATGTTTTCAAGTTAACATTAATTACAAACAGATACCCAGATTGTCCCACGAAACATTCAACTTGTCTATTTTTAGACGTATCAGTTACCGATCTTCGCATTTTGTAGATCACGTTGTAATATTAAATTATTATTTGTTCCAGATCGTGTGTTCGCCCGCAAACCAGATAGTTTGCGGCTTCGGTAACCGAGACCTATTGCGCACACCGAAATGGTGCAACGATAGAATGTTCGCAATGACAGCGATTCGAATGAAGCGATATCGAACTGATAGTTCTTGATTGAATGCTCGTCGCCACTTAGAGTGCCACGTTGGGCGCCAAAAATTTGGGGTTATTGAACTGTTAGTGTGGGTTATGTTGGGTGTTGAGCAGTGACGGCGGCCGGGCGGCTGCAATGGGCGCGGCGCGCCATGGTGCGCTCCCGCCCGCTGGGGTTGCTCCTGGCGGCGCTGGCGTTGGCGACGTGCGCCGCGGCCCCGGCGCCAGAGCCGCGCGCCCAGCGATCCGCGAACCTCAGCCACATCACGGGCACCTCCCGCACGATACAGATGTTCCTAAGGAATCGCTATCTGCAGCTCATGCCAGATGGCACTGTCAACGGCACCACAGATGGCAACAGCGCTCACAGTAAGTTTTTTTCAATATCTTTTTTTTATTTATTACCTACTAGCTTTCCGCCCGCTGCTTCGCCCGCGTAGAATTTTGTCTGTCACAGAAAAACAATATCGCGCGCATATTTGCTCACCGTTTAGACCTACCCTGGACTACGACAAACATTTTAAAACCAAAATTAGCTCAATTGGCCCAGCCGTTCTCGAGTTTTAATCAGACTAACGAACATCAATTCATTTTTATTTTATAGAAGATAAATAGATTACACCTTACATCACATCTTTAATTTAAATAGTGCCTTAAATCCTCTTGAGGTTTGTCCAGAGTTTTTTTTTTATCTAGATTGATAAGACATGCGAAAAAATTAAAATCACTTAACCCATCAAACTTCAAGCGGTTGCATAAGACCGCTTAACATTTGATTTCTATTGTGTCTTCATTCGCGCTCCTTGAAGAGATAAGTAAGGGCTTTTAAAGTTCTACATTGAGTTTTATGTGTAAGGTTTCACTAAAACTAATTTTCTGTTATCTTAGGTATAACGTGTATGTACTGTCGTATAAATTCCCGGTAGAAGATACTTCTAATACTACTAAATACATAAATAATAATGCTATTTTATTAAAAACCCTTATTTTTAAAACTCTAAATTCCACCTTAATGTTTTTAAAGCAAAATCGTATTTAACATCTGTTGAACTATGCGATAGCATAAACCATGTGTTTAGACGGCTAGGCCACAGAAAGCGAAACTAATTTGTTGTTCCACGCAGTAACAAATGACTTATTTGCAGTCATAACCATAATATTTGCATATTATTTGTTGAACGGACTGCAAATGATTGGAGGTCTCAAATGTGTGTATCGAATAACATAAAATACTCAGAGAAATGTTAGCTTAAAAAAAGATGAAGTTACAAATTATTCAAATATTTGTCATTGAAAGTATAACCAGTCTCGACTAGTTCCACAAGTTATGAATTAATGTATCCAATCCAACAAATATTAAAAGAAACTATGTAGCACGCGCCGAATAAAAAACACGAACAAAAACAAGAAACGCGTGTAAGAGCCATAAAAGATACAATTGATAAAAAACCCATAAAAACTCATAAAACTCATTTATTTCTGTAAATAGGCTTAAAAAAAGCACTTTTACACGTCCCAGTATTAACCCTACCACTGCTTCAGGACAATAAACGGGCCAGTGCTGAGAAGAAGTAGCGCAAGAACCTCAGTCACTATTGATAAAAGTTATAGGTCATATTATACAGGGTGTTAGGTAAATGGGTATATGAGCCGACACTAGCCCATGTTAACATAGGCATATAAATGGTATGGTGAAGTCAGTTACCATGTTAACATGGGCTAGTGTCGGCTCATATACCCATTTACCTAACACCCTGTATGAATTCGCAGGATACTAATGAGCTGGTTTTGATAAATTACGTAAGTTTCTAAATCAAAAAGCCTACTAATTAACTCTGCCCACTGGTCAATGACTGCTAACCTTTCCCATATAAATTAGTTATTTTACGACACTCCTTTAATATTTGTCGCTTATTCATGACGTGTGACGATATACAATCGACATAAATCATATTTCCACTTCGGCAATTTTTTTCCACACAAAAACTAAAAGATACATCTCGTGCGATGGACATTTAAATTGTTCTGTAATAACATGGAAGCCGTGTGGTGGCTCAATCTGGCGGGTAATTACATATTTGGTGAATAATACCTTCCAATCGGTTAGTTGAAATTGTGATAATGACTCAATAGATATTATCGCCAGTGGGGTAACCGTGGTGGTCTTTATGCAGACCACTTTGTGGAATAGACTGTGATTTGAAGGCTTTTTTTTTCAACAAAAGCTCTTGTCGATATTTGAAATTTCAAATACACATGACAAAACTATGTTTGAAACTTATACTCTTATCTTCTCTGCTTGACATGTAGTTGACTGCCAGAGCATGCCACCCGGTATTAAGTTCGCCACTGTACATTGTTTAAGTGCAATATAAATAAATAAATAATAATAAATAAATACCCTTGGACATTTTACACTGCGCCTCTAGTCCCAAACTAAGCAAAGCTTGTACTATGGGTACTAGACGACGGGATAAACATACTTAAATACTTTTTTTTTGTAAATACATACATATTATACATAGAAAACACCCAGACCCGTCACAGAAATCAAAATTCATCATTTCAATTTCTGCCCGGCCGGGAATCGAACCCGGGACCTCTCGGCATAGTAGTCCATTCTGAACCACTGCACCAATAAGCTTAAATAAATACCTTTTTGTTTCAAAAGAATTACATGTATTCTAGTAGTAGTATTAGTTTAAAAGGACGTTAACTAGGTTTCACCGCACGTGTAACTTTTTTGTAGTAGTTTTACAAAATTTGCTAAATTTTTCATGTATTATTGAGTCAACTGACATACATTTAAGAACTGTTAATACCAGGAACCTGGTAAACAAAAAGGTAACAGAAGCTCATCAATCAAGTGGTAGAGCATGGTTTTGACATGATATGATAGCGTTTGCCAACTCTCGAGGTATGGCTAAATGTATAAGTTTTTCATTATGTATTTCAAATAATGTTGTGTCAGTCAACTTAAAGGTTTATTAATTTAAAAGTACGTACATGTGGAACACAAAGTTATGATATTAAAAAAATATGAGTACCTAATTAAGGTGCTAAACAACTACGTTTTTGACATAAAAGGGTTCATAACAATTGTTTTCATTTCATCATCATCATCATCATTTGAGCCATAGGACTAGCGTTGCCAGACGTCCCGATTTTGGCGGGATGTCCCGATTTTTAAATCAAATTTAAATGTCCCGCGCGGGACAGGCTCTGTCCCGCTTTTCGGAGAGAGACACTCACTTCACCAGACTATTGTTTGAAACGCCATATTATTCTAAAGAATATTTTTTTTATTTCGATTTTGTTTTTTTTTTCTTTTTTTATTCTAAAGACGAATTTAACGATAGAGTAAATCTGATATAAAATATTATTTTTTTGTTTAAATACATTTTCTATGGCTACTTTTGCTATCTATTGTCACGTAACGTAATTTTAAGTCAAATAAAATGATAAATATTTGAAAACCTTTGATTATATACGTTTTTTTACTATGTCCCGCTTATGACGGAAGAATCCCGCTATTTTCACTCAAAAAGTACCAAAGTCCCGACTTGGCGAAAAAAAAAACTGGCAACGCTGCATAGGACATCCACTGCTGAACATATAGCTCCTGCAATGATTTTCCATGTTGACCGGTTTTTTTCATTTGTTTTATTATTATTGCTGTGAATCAATGGTTTATTGATTAATAGTTATTGTATTATCTTGAGGTTTCTATAGAACTAACGTGTCTGTATCTGAAACACCATTAGATTGGGATCACAGAACTAATAACCGCGAGTGTAGTAGTTTTATCGCAATGGGAAGTCAATGCCATGCTCAAATCGTAATGGAATCGTACTTTGGAGAGATTGGATTCCGGTTACTTGCAAATTTTTTACCTTTTTGTTTGTTTATCTTTATCTACCATCCCTACCTTTTTCAATCATAAAGGCGCTATATCAAATTTTAACCACGTGTTTTTTTTATCCACAACGAGGAAGCTCTTGGCCTGTATCTCACCTGATGGTAAGTGACGATCAGGCCGAAGGTGGAAGCGAGCTTCACCCGGAATCCTCAACCACGGAGGAACTGGCTATCTTATCTATAACTGCCGGAACACAACAATGCTGTTAACATTGTTGTTATGGCGACAGACTTAGGTAAGATGGTGGTAGCTAGCCAGGCGGACTTAGAACAAACCCTACCACCAACCAAACCGAACAGAATCTGCCCCCACTGGGAATCGAACCCGGGACTTCTGCGTCTGAAGCAAGTGGTCTTACCACTAGACCACAGAGGCGGTTAAAACCATCTTTGTTTGTACTAAAACAGCGACTTGAGATTTGAGTCTTATTTAAGTCTGTCTAAAAACACTCTTATCCTAAGTAATTACATCACTCTCTACAGCAATTAAACTTCAAAAAGCAAAATTATATTATTTCGTTCACAAAAATTGGGTGTAAACATGAGATTTGGCAAAAAGACGACCACCAACCATACTTAAACTCGGTCCCGGAGTTAAGGGAACATAAAACTTCATTTTGATGGCACGATTATTGTCTCAAAATCGGTCTTATCTGTATAATAATTAGCTTTAGATATCATAAATACCATAAAGACCCCTTTTATGACTGGTACGATCCTGAATAACTTATGGTATTAATTTTACGATGTTTTTAGTACAACTTTTACGTTTGGACACTTCGCGTTATGAATGTGTCCTATACTGTCAGAAGTAGGTCATAAATAGACATTATTATTGTCTATACCGTATTTGCATTAGCAGGATCCAAACCCCCTAAGGGTTTGTTCCTACGGAGACATCCCGTTTTGCAGGAACAGTTTTTTCCAGGATCCCGTTTAGTAGTATTACGTGTTTTCAAACACCATATAATTAACTAGCGGCCGCCCGCGACTTTGTACGCGTGGATCCCGTTTTACCCCCTTAGGGGTGGAGTTTCGTAAAATATTTTCTTAGCGGATGCCTACGACATAACATCTACCTGCATGCTAAATTTCAGCCCTATCCGTCCTGTGGTTTGAGCTGTGCATTGATAGATCACTATGTCAGTCAGTCAGTCACCTTTGAGATATTATTATATATTTAGATTATGTGTGTTCACACAACAGTCCAGTTTTGCGGGAAAACTGGATTACCGTAGGAACGAGAATCGAGCCCTAAGCCTCCGTCGTTCTTCGTAATAAGTTCCCACGTCTCCCTTAATCTTTTTAAAACATAAACCATTAAATTTAACAATATCAAATCGTACAGCTTTATCAAAATCCATTCATGATTATGCGTAAAGCACACGAGACTTCCTGGTAGGTAGTCATTTCCGCAAATTGCCGAGTTTCAACAGCCACCGCGACACCGTTATATTTCGTGTGCATAGCCTTATCTTGGATCGCCGATATTCGATATTGCACCGTATTAAAAGTTGCTAAAGTTCAGAATGGTAGGTGATTCTGAAATAATATTTATGCTGCGGTAAAAGTTCCAAATTGGTGTTTTGATATTTTGATTTAATCAGATTTAAGTTATTTCTTATCTTTGTTCTTAATGCTTACTTTATTACTAGCCGATAAATTAGTTTTTAGAACAATAAATTAGTTTCTAGAATTTTGTTAAAATTATAATTGTAAACAGGAAAAACCGCCAATTGGTCGTGTCCGAGTTCTGAATATGTCATAAGATTTGTTCCATATTAATGGCATATTAAGATGTAGTTTTGGCTTTGTTTTTGATATTAGTCTTAAACAAAAATGTTTACATTAAAACTCCAGACCTGTCCAGGTATTTTATACTTAACATACAAAATACAACCGCAATCTTATTACATATACCTAGCACATTGTTCCAAAGAAAACTTCCTGACTCGTTATTCAGCGTATAATTATATTAAAGAAAACTTCAGACTTTTTGTTTCAGCGTATATTTACAGGTTTTATTTATTATAAGCCATTTTTAAATCTGTCCGATTTCATAATCTACCCGCGGCATTTACAACCTGTCTTGTACTGCTCTGATTATATCAATTACTCCGCATTGAAGGCGATTTGGCAGCCATTAAGCTGAATAGCTTCTTCTCGATACAACTTCATTCGGACGTTCATTGATATCGATTGAAACTATCGATTTGTTGGTTTAATCTCTGCCTGATAGTCGACATAGAAAAGTTATTGAGTAACTAGTTATAGAGTAATTTTGTCTGTCACAGAAAAACTATATCGCGCGCGTCCCTATTTCAAAAACCGGGATAAAAACTATCCTATGTCCTTTCCCGGGCCTCAAACTATCTCTATGCCAAATTTATTCAAAATCGGTTCAATGGTTTAGGCGTGAAAGAGAGACAGACAGACAGACAGACAGAGTTCCTTTCGCATTTATAATATTAGTATATTATTATGTAGATTAGTAAAGAAACCGTTTTGCAAGTGATCTTAATTTGGCGTGGACTGTTTTATGTCGAAATCGACACTTTTTAAAGAGTAGTTTCCTCCCGTATTCACAAACATAACTATGAGATCACACACGAACCAATCACAGAGCCCTATTCAACGCTGTGCGTTCGATTTGCTGCATCACTTAAGTAAGTATCGTTGGTGAATACGGGCGTTAGTGCACCAATTACTGCACTATACTTCGGTCAAGTGTTTCAGTCAGGTCATCATCATCATCATCATCATTTCAGCCACAGGACGTCCACTGCTGAACATAGGTCTCCCCCAATGCTTTCCATGTTGATCGATTGGTAGCGGCCTGCGTCCAGCGCTTCCCTGCTAC